GCCTCTAGTTGGTGGAGATTAAAATAAGATTTTTAGCAGATTTTGAAAAAAAAATGATAAAATGTGTTGTTGAGAAGTTATGAATCCCATAAAATATGATAGCACCAGAGTTTCTACCTTGTCTCACAACTCGCATTGCTTGGAATTTAACTAGGTAAACTAGGGCCTCCTTAAGCTCTGGTAGCATACCCAATGGGCGATTAACTTCATTGCCAAAGATGAAAATGTTCCACTCCTTCAAGGAATTCTAGGTTGCCAAAAGAAATAATTCCATCTCAAGGGCATGTTCTGTCATAAATACACGGAAAAATGACCCCAACAAATAGTGCATTATAGAGGCACCACTCGATACTAAAACCACCCTCTTCCCAAACTGATACTGTAGGAGGACAAGTGAAAACAGCATTGGACAGCCTTTAGCTAAGTTATTACATTAGCAACAAATTGGGTCAGTATTCATATGCCATTTTGGTAGGCTTACATCGGAAGGAATTAGCTCGAGCGTACCCACCAAGTGAAGATTTTTATCTTCGGTGGTATACTAATGCTATAAAGGAATATACCGCTATTTGAGTTTGGATAATAACATTTTTATATATCATAATTCTCAGTTTTTCATAATTAAGGACATAAGATATTTCGAACATGTTCTAACTTATGAATTGTTTGAGAAAGAACTGGCTTGCAGTGATGTCGTGTTTACGTTGGTCAGTTTGGGTGTCAGAACAAGGAACCACTAATTGTCACATCTTTAGCTGTGCATTAGTGAACAAATTTTGGAATGCGTTCCGACCTGACTTGTCACTGGGACTTCCACCGTTGGTGAAGGGGCATATTCAAGAGAGCCTTACTCCGTGTGCTATGCCAGTTTTGATGTCCTTGTTTGAGCCCCATTAATTTTACGTAATGTATTATGGAATAATAGATTGATGGAGAATGTGTGTGGTTAAAAATAATGAAACTTTTTTGGTTTGTGCGTAATATTATTTCAATGAAGAATGTATGGTTGAAAATGAGTACCGTAGAAAAAATTGATGTGATCCGGACCAAGCTTCAAGTGGACGAAGATTCGAAGTGCCTTGAGAAGAAGTCAAGGTTGAGTTCGGGGTCAAGTCAGAGTTTGAATCAAGTCAAAGAATCTACACAATCAAGTGATCGAGCCACGAAGTTCACCGGGACGAAATTGTTGAGCCAATGGACAAGTGTCATGTTGGAGTCGAAGGCCGAAAAGGGTTGGAACGTGTTCGAATCAAGAAGGCAAAGCGGGGGCCAAAGTGAAGAACCATGATGCCGCATGGTTCTACAACCCATGCGGTCGCATGCACATTTATCGAAAGCAAAAGAGGGCATTCCAGTAGTTGTATGCGACCGCATAGAACAACATTGTGCGGTCGCATAGGGGTTTTCCGGCGCGAGATCTTTATTTTTTTGGAAACTTCCTAGTTTCCCTAGAACTCCATATTTTAGCGTCTTTTGATATATTTGGACTCTATTTTCGTGCAAGTTAGGTTTAGAAGTGTTTCATATAAGTACTTCTCTTTATTCTCATTGTAAGACAATTTTGAATATTAATTGAGTGAAAAACTCTTGTGTGAGGTTTTGATCCTCCAAGTCTTGATCACTTTAAGATCTAACTTTGAACTTATCAAAAGGTGTCGCAGTCCTTTTGTGGCGTTTCTACTTCACGGTTCTTGTTTCGGGTAATCAAAGGGTCATATCAAAGAATTAGATATACTAAAAATTGAAATTAGAAAATTAAAAGAAAATAATAAAAGTAGAGACAAAAAAAAAAATAGATAAAAAACTTATA